GCCAGTGCCTGTGGGCTGGTTGGGGAGCCACGAGGCCAAGCCCCCGCCACCTTTGCCAATGGCAGGAGGAATGCTGAACGCTCGCCGAGTCGAGGAGGAGGAGTGGCTGGCGCCCGAGGATGGGCGGCTGGTGGTGGACCCGCGGGCGGCGAGGTCGCCCCCTCATCTCCCGCGGATCGTTGGCCATTGGCATCCGCGGGGGCAGGTTGGCAGGCGCCCCGTGCACGGCAGCTCCGGCCCCTCACCGGCCCCACGGGTGGACGAGAGCGGGGTGCTGGAGCCTGTCTTGGTCTATGATGCAAAGGGTCCCCCGCCAGGGGTCCGACCGCTCCAAGCGCAGGAGGTTTGGCACTTGCGCGGAGGGTCCAGTGCCGACTGGCTCGCACTTTGTGGGCAGTTGAGCCACGGGGATTTGCTGAGGGGAGTCCTGCGTGCGTGCCCCCCGCGTGCAGCCGCGGCTGCGCTAACAGCGGCCCTCAGGCAAGCGGAGGTATCCACCGAGTCAGGAGAGAGGACGGCGGGCATCTGCCGCCGCCCAGAGGACGAGGGGAGACGTCGGGAGCTCACGAGCTGGCTCCAAGCTGACGAGAGGCGACGGCAGGAGACTGTGGGGAGGCGTGAGCGGCACGGTGGCATGCTGCCAGGGGAGCGAGCGCAAAGCTTGCTCGACGACCCCTACCCCGATGTGATCCTACTGCGAGTGGGACGCGACCCAGATGGAGGACCGCAGTGCTGGAACCAGTGTGGGAGGAGCTGCGCTCGCTTGGAGCACGACTGGGGCTGGTACTGCTGTCGGACATGCCGTGACACGGATGGCGACGCCCATGGGCCGCGCTGTCAGGCACGACACGAAGACCTCCAGAGGAGGCAGAAGGAGGCGGGCTACCGCCCCCCAGCGGGCGAGGAGGCGAGTGGCAGCGGCGGTCCAGGAGCCCAGGCAGCAGGCGAGGAGGCTCCGAGGCACCCGCCGCCCAAGGCGGCGCCGGACGGCCGCCTCCCACCCATCTGGGAGGAGCAGCGGCCTGCGGTGGTGAAGGCGCCGCCCAGGACGGCCAGGGAAGGCCGGCAGCACGAAGGTCCACCCGCTGGAGGGGCGCAGGGCCCGCTGGTGGGTAGCGGAGGAGACCCACTGGCCACCAGGAGCCGGCATGCGGGAGGTTCAGAGGATGAGAGCTGGGGCCCCTGGACGGCCACAGGGCGACGCGTGGTTGCCGAAGGCGGGGGAGAAGGCGCCAGCGGTGCGGATCAGGCCCCACCCCCCCCAGAGGCGAGGGAAGCCTTGCGGCCGTGCCGGCTCCCAGGGTGCCCCTATTTGGAGCACTCCCAGCCCGCGAGGGCAGTCGACGGGGGAGCACTGTGGCGGCCAGGGTTCTGCTGCAACAAGTGCGCAGGGCGGTCGGGGGGAGCAGACTGGGCAGAAGGAGGCGCGAAGCACTTCAGACACTGTGAGAAGATGCCCCACGGCCAGCCACCCCCAGGTGGGGAGGGGCCGTCAGAGACCGCAGCAGCAAGTAAGAAGCGCAAGCAGGAGCGCAAGCGAGAGATTGCAGCGGCTGCCGCCCGGATGCTGGCCGCCGCTGCGTTGGCTGCCCCCCCTGCGGGGTCTGAGTCCGGGGCCGCGGAGGAGCAGGGCGAGGAGAGCGGCAGCGGAAGTCTGAGCGAGGAGTGCCCCCCCCCGTCACCAGGGGAGCTCGCCCGGCGGGCACGTGCGGAGCGAGGGGCTGCCCGGCAGAGGAAGGCGGAGGCAGAGCGGCCCGAGGATGGGGCCGGGCACCCCGGTGCGGGGCAGGCGGAGTACATCCACCTAAGGGCGAAGACCCCGCCTGCACCAGCAGCGGTCAAGCAGGAGGAGAGGTCGGAGGAAGAGCCCCCGGCAGAGGTTGCGCGGGCGGTCGGTCAGACTTACCGTGCGCTCGCTAGGCGGGTAGAGTTTCAGAGGACAGGGCTTTGGTCCGCACCAGAGGAGGAGGACCGCCCCAGGGGGAGGGCCGCCGGGGTGGAGACGTCGGTGGTCCACCCTCGGCCTGGCCGAGAGCCACTCCCGCAGCCAGAGGGGCGGGCCGACCGCGAGCCGCTGCCCCAACCAGGAAGTTGGGTGCCCCCTTCGGGGGAGTCGAGTGGGTCCCGCGGGCTGGAGAAGCGGCCGCAGCCCCCTGGTCACCGGGCGGAGGAGGACCCGCTCAGGCCTGGCGGACCGGCACGTGCTGCCGAGGCCGTGAGGGACCTCAACTCACCTGAGTCCTACTCGGAGGAGGACTATGAAGAGACAGAGGAGGAGGCCGAAGCATTTCGGCCGGTTCCTTTCCCAGGAGGCGGCCCAGACGCCCGCTATGCGTGGTGTGAGTACTGCGGTGTGCAGGGCGAGGGCCGGGACACGAGCTGCCCGATGTGCAACAAGCCCTACCCCATTTCGATGGCCAAGGACCGGTTGGCGGCAGCGCAGAGGGCAGCCAAGGCAGGGAGTGCCGCCGCGGTCGCCCCCCGGCACGGGGGAAGAGAGGAGTGCGAGCGTGAGGAGGTGGCGCGGCGTGCGGCACCGGAGGCTGGACCGCCCGAGGACATCGACCCGGAGGCGGTGAGCCGGTACCTGGAAGCGGCAGCGGGCAGCGGACAGGGCAGCGAAGGGCTCGAGCGGCAGCTCAGGCGGATCGCCAGGGAGGACTCCAGGCGGGCCGGCGGGCGTGCCGATGCTGGGTACGCGCCAGAACTCCAGAGGTTGGTAGACGCAGCCGTGGTGGCTTCGGTGGCAAAGGGGACGAAGGCGACCTACGGCGTCGCTTGGAGGCAGTGGACGACGTTCTGCCGGATCCGCAGGAGGTCGCCCATCCTGCATGGCGAGACTCGTGAAGAGCGTCACCAAGACGAGGAGGAGCTGCTGCTATTCATGGTGCACCTGTACAACAGCCTGAAGCGGTCGCACGGGACGATACGGTCAAAGTTGCTGGGGATCCGTTCACACCACGTGATGCTGGGTGAGCCTGACCCCTTGGCGGGTAAGCCGCGGCTGTGGATGGCGTTAAATGGGATAGAGAACTGGCAAGGGCCCGGAAAGAGGAAGCTCCCGGTTACGACCAAGATGCTGAAGAGAATCCGAGACATGCTGAAGCCAGACACTTGCGCGGACGACGCGGCCTTGTATTTCTGCGTGATCTTCGCCTTTTTCTTCATGATGCGGATTGGGGAGTACGCCCACTCGGGGCACTGGGATTTGAAGAAGGTCTTGACCGGGCTGGACATTGCCCCGAAGTGCAAGGGCGAGCAGGTGAGCCACTTCGCTGCCGCGGACGAGGTGGTGCTGTGGTTTAAGGCGTCGAAGGCGGACCAGAAGGGAGCAGGGCAGGCGAGGAACCACTACCGCTCGAACGACCCGTTCGGCATCTGCCCGGTGTGGGCGGCGGAGTGCTACAACCGTTGGTTCCCGAGCCGTATCGCGGGCAAAGAGGCACATTTACCACTTGCGAGGTGGGAAGACGGCAGCCCGATCACGCGGGAGCGTATCCAGGGCTTGCTTCAGAAGGCGGCGGCGCTGGAAGGCTATCCACCCGACAGGTTCAAGAGCCATTCGCTTCGAATCGGCGGAGCGACGGCCCTGTACCACTGCTTCCAGGACACGGAGCTGGTCAAGCGTTGGGGGCGGTGGAATAGCGGAGCCTTTCACCAGTATCTGTGGGAGGCGAATGAGGACGCGGCTGGAGTGTCAGAGGCGATGGCGAAGTCCGTCGCAACCTTGCACGTGGGGTACAAGGTGGAAGTGGCGGGAGATGGACCAGCCTCTGAGGTGAAGGAGAAGCCGGCGGCCTGAGGACAATAGCAGGAGTGCGAGTTTTGAGCTATGGCGTGTCACCACTGGAGGGGCCGATGCTGGATTGTGCGCAGTCCTGGGGCAGCGGCCTGGGGGCAGTGGTGACCCCCAGGATCGGCGTAGGCGAGGAGAGAAACCCCGGGGCGTCCCGCCAGCGCGGTCCCCGGGAGAGTTGGAGGAGGAGAGATGGAGGAGGGACGGGGCGTCCCGCCAGTGCGGTCCCCGAGGAGTGAGGAGTGTGAGGAGTGAAGTTGGCCACGCGCGGCGCAGCAGAGACGCCCAACTGCGAGCCCCATTCGGCACCTCCCGCAAGTCACGGGCGCCGAGGGGTAAGTAGCTGGGTGGCCGTGGGGCCGCCAGCCGGCGGCACAGCTAGGCCCCTGCCGAGGCGTAGCACTGAGAGGAGGAGGACGGCGTGCGCCTGATGTCGCCAAAAGGTGCGCGCGTCCGCTGCCTCCGCTTTTTTCTTTAGTGAGCCCGAACAGTGCTTGTGCTCGTTGCGTCGCCCCGTCGCCTCGGGCTCTCACTGTTTGGTTTTCTGCCAGGCACCTTCTCACTTAAACGTGAGAGTTTGAGCATGCGTAAAACGTAGGGTTTCAGGGAGTAAGTGCCTGGTGAGGGGGAAGGGTCTCTCCTGCTCTCCGTCCCTTTCCCCCTCCGCGGCCCATTTGGGGCTCAAGTTTCCTTCTCGGGCCCTTCCCTCCCAGGCCCTCCCTGGCCCTTCGTAGGTCCTTTTTCCCCTTTTTCGGCCTTGACCGCATTGCGGTTCGGGCCGTGGGGCCGCCAGCCGGCGGCACAGCTAGGCCTCTGCCGAGGCGTAGCACTGAGAGGAGGAGGACGGCGTGCGCCTGATGTCGCCAAAAGGTGCGCGCGTCCGCTGCCTCCGCTTTTTTCTTTAGTGAGCCCGAACAGTGCTTGTGCTCGTTGCGTCGCCCCGTCGCCTCGGGCTCTCACTGTTTGGTTTTCTGCCAGGCACCTTCTCACTTAAACCTCCTCCTCCTCCTCCTCCTCCTCCTCCTCCTCGTCCTTCTCCTTCTCCTCCTCCTCCTCCTGCTTCTCCTCCCCCTCCTCCTCCTGCTCTCCCCTTTCCTCCTCCTCCTCCTCCTCCTCCTCCTCCTCCTTCTCCTCCTCCTCTTCCTCCTCCTACTCTCTCCTTTCCGCCTCCCTCCTCCACTGCTCCTTGCGCTCCCTTCCCCAGGAGTGCGGGAGGCTCGACGCGACCGCGATGCGATACGACGTCACGGTGTCCGACGGCAGGCACATCAAGGCCAGAGGCCCATGGAGGTGCAGTCGTCGCTGTCGTCGTCGTCGTCGTTGTCCCTCCTCCCCCCTCTCCTCTCTGTTCAGCTTCCTCGCTCCTCCTTTCTGATGCCTCCTCCGCCTGCCCCGACTCGTCTGTTCCACGCAGCGTCACGCTCCCGCGCATGCGTGAGCGCGCGCGCGCGAGGAGTTGGGTGAATGGGGAGGGGGTAGGAGGGGGGAGAGGGGGATGCAGGTGGGCGATGAGGAGGAGGAGGAGGAGGAGGAGGAGGAGGAGGAGGAGGAGGAGGAGGAGGACAGGGTCGGCAGCGACGAGGAGGGCGACATCGAGGATGGAGGTGAGGGCAGATGTCGAGCCTTCCCTGCGTGACCTAGCAATGCCTCGAGAACAGCCAGTCGTACGTATGTGGAAAGCGCACACACGGATATCCCAGCGAAGGTCAAGCCGGCCAACGCCGAGTTCTACGCCAAGTTCAATACAAGCCAGGCCCGAGCCTGAGTTGCGCAGCCTGGGGGCAAGTCAGAGAGTAAGGTAAGCAGTCGCTTGCAAGGGTTGAGTGCGGAGGGAGGCGGGGGACGGGAATGAGGACGACAACCAAGACGGGAGGACGTCAAGATCGACGAGCAGGGCGACGAGAACGAGGGCAGGGAGGGACAGCAGAAAGACAAGGAAGGGCAGGAGGACGGGGATGGAGTCGATGATGACGAGCGCAGTTGAAGCGGCGACGCAGAGGGCGAGGACACCAGGCCCCGCTCAACGCAGGAGCGGCACTCTGGCGGGGAGGTATCGTCGCGGCCCCTGCCTGCCTGGGCTTCGGGTGCGAGCGTCGTCCGGGCATGCTGCGGGTTCGCCTCGCCGCGACGCGCTGGCGATCCCGGCGCGGGAGCTCAAGGTTGAGCTCCGCCTGGGGTCCAGAATCGGCCGACCTCGGTCGATTTGCGACATCGGAAGGCCACGATTGCGCATGACGCGGTGTCGCAGACCGACGCCCACGTCGCGACGCGAGGTTGCGTAACTTTGGGGCTTGAGGACAGCTGCATCCGTCGGCATGGCCAGCTTCTGTGGCCCGTGCGAACTCCTGGAGTGGAGACCATGCCAAGAGACACCCTGCTTGCCTCCAGGGTGCCGTGGGTTTCTTGGGCTTGGATGGTTTTGCGACGGACAGCGCGACGTTCCCACACCAAAAATCCAGTGCACGTCCTGGGGTCTCAGGGCTGGGCTTCTTGTGGAAGGCTTCTTGTGGTCGGGCCTCCACTGTATCGGGGGCGGCAAAGAGGGGGGTGATGACTAGGGGGGGGGGATATCATGGCGTGGGCCATGATATTTCCCCAGATTTCGTGGCGCCTCCTCTTATTTTATTACGTCCCTGGCGCCCCCCCTGGGCCGCGCACATGCCGCCGGCCATGATTTGCACACCCCCTCTTTCAAGCAGTGGCGAAGCGTCCTGGCTCGCCTATAACCCTACCAAACCATGTTCTGAGAACCTCTTGTGGTTTCCACGAAATGTTCTTTTGAACGTTTCTGGCGGAGCCTGTCTTCTTCTATCACACCGGGTCAACATTCTAAGAACATTGGTTTTGTTCTTAGAACATGTTTGGGTTCTAAGAGCATTTCGTGGTAGGACTACAGGAATGCCGGGACGGTCGGTCCCTGCTCAACTCTTGGACGCCCCCCTCTTGGCCGCTCTCGATTGCACGCCGGGTCGAGCGCCTGCCGCCCCGTGCGCGGCGCCCCACGGCCTGCGGGCGCGCGCCGCCGCGTGGAGCACGCCTGGGAGCCGCCCGGCGCAGCTGCAAACCGGCCCAAGCCGCAAGTCGGTCCCCCTTGTCCCCCTTTCTGCACGAACGAGATGGGTATTTACGCATTTAGGGGGCCCCGGAAACGGCAGGGCCGCTTTTGCACCGTTTCCGACAGAGTGCCCCTTGAACATGGAAGAGCGGCAAAAAACGGCGACTGGAAAGGGCAACAAAAAGAGCTCCAGGATTGGAACCAGAGCGGGAACTTGTAGAATAACGGCGACGGAACCGGTGAAAAAACGGCGTCGGATCCGGCAAACAAGCGGACACGGAACCGGTAAAAAAAGGCCCTGTCGTATCCATAGCCCACCAAGGGTACGGAAAGCATGGGTACAATGCCCAACAGCAGTTCCTGTTCATGTTTAACAGAATTCGTTGTCCACGCCGCCGCGGCCTGTGTCCATTTGAGACAGCAGGCCGCCTGCCCAACAGCGGCCACTGTCGGTTTGGGACAACATTTGTTGTTTGGCATTGTAGCAATTTTTTCCGCACCCATTACGGGCGTCCAAACTCTCCTAGAAGAAAATCCCCAAAATAGTCAAGAAATAGTCTGCGGACGATTTGTTGAGAATGTTTTGAATATTGCCTGACTTCCTATGTTTTGTGCAAAATCCGCGTGTAGGGGGACACGCCGGACCTAAAACCAGCCCAAGCCCCACGTTCGGCATGATCGGGACACGTCTGGCTTGATGGCCCGAATTCGAGGAAGGAATAACGCCACAAGAATAATGTTGTGCCGCTCCGCGTGGATTTCTTGGATCCGCGCTGGGCTCACTCAGGCGGCTCTAGCGCCGCCCATGGCGCACTCCGCGCGCCAGGGAGCGGGGTGGCGCAGATCCAAGAAATCCGCGCGGAACGCCGAAAGTTTATGTTCATGGCGTTTTTCTTCTTCTGTGAATCGGCCTTCGTCGTTATTACGGTTCTGCACGATCGAATTGGGTACGGAAAGCATGGGTACGATGCCCAACAGCAGTTCCTGCAAATTTTGATCACTCGCTTTCTGCGCCGCCGCGAAGGTTGTTCATTTGAGACAGGATGCCGCCCGCCCTTCAGCGGCCACTGTCGGTTTGGGACAACATTTGTTGGGCACCGTACCCATGTTTTCCGCAACCATCTCGGAGGTCCAAAATGAAAACCTCCCGGCCCGGCAGCTGCATATTATTTTTATGCGTCGTGACGGTCGTTACCGCCCCCCCCAGGGAACCCTAACGATAGTACGCCGGGGGGGGGGCTGGACCCCCCCCATGTTGGTGTTCGCGCGCATGCTATGTCGATCGCAGCAGGCCCCCGCCCAAGCGTGATCGTCACCCCCCTGTTAACGACCCCTACCAGACATTGCCAAAACATGCAGATTCTTATTTACTGGCGTTAACACCAAACAGCGTCATCTATGATATGGAATGAAGTTCTAGACGCTTCGCGTAACCCCACCAGTTTCAGGTGACGTGCGTTCTGGCCAGTTCCGGCACGAGTGCTTGCATTCCTTAGCTTCTGGTTCCCTGTCAGCTGGCCCTATGGGATGTTGGTCCGCCGGTCCACTCAGGAGTGGTTCAGCTTTCTTGAGGGCTCCAAGAGCGCTCTCAAGGCTCCCCAAGAGCGCTTCAAGAGGGCCCCAAGAGGCGCCGAGGAGGCCCCAGGAGGCCCCAACAGGCGCCCAAGAGGCCTCCAAAAGGCTCCCAAGAGACCCCCAAGAGGCCCAGCGATTCTCTCCGAGGCACCCACGACGCTCTCAGAGGCGTCCGGGACCGCCAAGGAGGCCGTCAAGACGCTCCAAGAGGCTTCCACTGGGGGACCCTTTCTCTGTGTGCTGCCCACTTCCCTGATCGAAGCAATTCCTCTAGGCAGCGTTTCTGGATGGGCTGGTGTTTTTTCCCATCGCGGCCAGAGGCGAAGGCGCCCGCAGCAGGTATAGCCAACTCGGGCTACGAGCGAACCTAATTGCCGGCGCGCGTGCAGAGCTAAGCAGGACTTACCGTTGGGGGAAGCAGCTGCGCCGGGGCTATGCTGCAACCGCCGAGGCTGGAAACCAGCGCCGAAGGAGGGGAGTGCAAGCTGGTGGGGCTGCCAGGAGGCTGCAAACTTGCGGGTACCATGGGAGCTGAATCGCCAGGTATGTGAATTGGACCTTGTCGCCACGGGGCGCCAGAGGTCAGGGCTTCGGCCCAACAGGGGGCACGCCTGGTCGTTCTTGGGTCATCTTAGAGCCATCTTGTGACCTCGGCGAGAAAATGAGAAACAAACATTGATTGTCCTAAGGTTTTGGAATGATTGGGGCTTTTTCGGGGCCTCCTAGGGGAGCTATTTGGCCACTTGGAGCCGTCTTGTAGCGGTCTTGGAACATCGTGGGAGCCATCTTGAAGCATCTTGGGAGATCGTGAGCCATCTTGGAGGTCATCTTGGGCTCTCCCAGGCGCTTTTGGAGTCATCTGAAGCAGTGCCCCCCCCCTCCCAGGAGGCCAAAATGTGGCCAACACCTTGTAGTACAAATTTTGAGTTTGGCATTGCCGTCGGGGCCTGTTGGAGCGTCTTGGGTGCCTCTGGGGGGTCTCTTGGGAGCATCTTGGGGGCATCTGGGGGGGGCCTCTTGGGGGCCTCTGGGGGCCTCCTGGCCACCTCTTGGGGCCCTCTTGGGGCACCCTGGGGAGCATTGGGAGCGCTCGCGGGGCCATCTCGCAGGAGATCGATCAAAGAAGGGGTGTTTCTGAATCAGCGTCGCCCCCCGAAAAAAGGCCAACATGGGACCAAAACCCTTGTCAAACCGATGAGTTTGGCTTTCTCGCCGAGGCCGTTTTGGACGCTTCGACACCTGGCGGCCCCCCCCCGTCCAAGTCCAGGGGAGGGGGCAGGGGGAGGGGTCAAGACCCCCCCCCGCCCGCAAGCCGATTCGCTCAGTCTCACCCGCCATCCCAACACATATGTAGCACCCGAGCCTGGCCCGAGCCTCAGCATATTCAGCAGTCGCCTTTGGATGGGCAGCTACTCTGGGCCAATCCGCCGCCGCCGCCGCATCCGCCGCCGCCGCCGCCGCTGCCGCCGCCGCCGCCGCTGCCGCCGCCGCCGCCGCCGCAGCCGCCGCAGCCGCCCGCCGCCGCCGCTGCCGCCGCCGCCGCCGCCGCCGCTGCCGCCGCCGCCGCCGCCGCCGCCGCCGCCGCGCCGCCCCGCCGCCGCCGTCGCCGCCGCCGCCGCAGCCGCAGCCGCGCAGCCGCCGCCGCCGCCGCAGCCGCCGCAGCCGCCGCAGCCGCCGCAGCCGCCGCCGCCGCCAAGTGTATTGTTTTTGTTGACATGGATGGTGGTAGGGGGCCGCATCGGGTTGGTTGCGCATAGTCTGCAGAGTTGTGGCAGTGCCTGGGGGAGGGGGTGTGGGTGATTACTAAGGAACAGTGATACACCCATCCCCGAAAGGAGACGAAACAAGTGGGTTGGAAAGGGAGCCTCCCTAAATCACCCACGCCCAGAGGCTGGTGGATTGTATGTTCAAGCTCTGTCGTGGAAGTTCGGTGGTGCATTAAACGTGTAGCAAGCTTTGATGCGTAAGCAGTGTGGTGCATGTTGTGCGGTGCAATCTATGTGGTGTGAGGTATGGTGTGCAAGGTCTGCGATGATATATTTGTGGTAAGTGTGATGCAAATCAAAGCAAAGCAGCCCGACGCAAGGCGACGCAGTTCTAAACAATGCGTTGCAGCACTATTTTTTGCAAAACCATGTAACGCAACGCAGAGCTGAGTTAGGCAAGGCAATGAAAAGCAATGCGAAGCAATGAAAAGCAACGCAGTACGATGGAAACACTTTCAAAGCAATGCAACGCATTGCGATGCAACGCAATGCAAATTGCGAGCCTCGCACAGTCAAACTCGTGACCAGAATCGTGCGGCGAGTGGCGGCAACGGACTGCCGCAAGCCGGCCAGACCAGCGCATTGGCCCAGTTCTTTCTGAAAGAAGTTGGAAGCCAATTGGGGACGCTGCCCACGCCGAAGAAGATTACATATTGCATACCCGACATATTCTCTAAGCTCAGCGTGGATTTCTCGGATCGGCTTTCCCCTTGGTCGCGACGACGACCGCTACCATACATGTGTTCCCCTACAGTCTAAGTGGGGATCATGACTTCGTTGCACACACCCCGCGCAGGAGCCTCACCCCCTATTCAGTCTCGTTTTTCTACACTCGTCATCATCATTATCACAGTCATCGTCATCATCATCATCATCATCATCATCATCATCATCATAGCGCTGCCGTTTTTCTTAGACCTTTCTAGCAGCGCGGCGCCCCGTTCTACCTGCTAGGGCGGGTGGGACATCCATACAGGCCAACACTTCGAATGATGATGTCTTCGCCTCGAAGACGAGGCTCGATGACTTGGCCGCTCGCGCCTGAGGCCACCAGTGCTGAAGGATGGAGATTGCGTTGCGTTCAATACAATCCCCAAGCTCTACCAGTACGCCGCAACCTCACGGACGTGCTCTCCCACTTCACGACGGCGCAGGTGGTCTCTCTCACAGGGACATGTCAGAATTTAAAACACATTGCTTTCGATCAATCGTTGGACTTTGTAAGGAAACGAGTTGGCAAGCGGCAAGTTTGGCAATGGCCGACGGAGGTACTGAAGGCGACGGGCAGACGCCGTGCCAGACGTAACGGCACTAACGTCTCGGCAGGTTGCATGATCGCCGTGGATCGCACCATCTTCCCCAACTGTCGACGGGTTCAGAACTGGCAACCACCTGCAGGACTCCGGGGTCGAGGCGGCGCTGTTCGGTATAAATGGAACACTCACTACGACCTGTGCCTCATCAGTGTGTACTCCATGCTCGAGCCTCACGACGAGGTCGGTCGCATCTGGCGGACCAAGCTATTACGTTGGATTTCAGATGTCTTGGATAGTCTACCTGCTCGCTGTACTCCGATATTGATGTGCGACGGGAACTTCCATTGCGGCTACGTGAAGATCGGCAACACTCTGCAGCTCACCCCCGTGGGCGATGCTATTGGACATGCAGCACCTGCAGTGGAGACTCCATCGGGTACACTATGGCGTACATTACTGAATCAACATCATCTGGCTCTTTGCAACACTCATGTTCTGGAGGGGGCTGGCCCCACTTTCTTTGGAGCTGGGCAATCTCGGACGCGTATCGACTACATCGCTCTCCCCAAGACGGCCATGCATAGAGTCCAGCAGATCAAGGTGTGGTATCGCGACGGCTTCAACCTACAACTTTCAAAATCCACGTGTGCAGCAAGCAAGAATATTGATCATTGCCCGCTGGTTCTGGACTTTCTTTGCAGACAGTGGCACGAGGCACCCACAGCAGATACCTTGACATGGGATCGGGATAAGATTATGTCAGACTGGCTCCAGAATCAAGACGGCCGCATGCAATTTGAAGGGGAGTTGGAGAACTGGGCGCGACAGGATTGGACACAAAACAATATCCGTACGTGTTGTCTTCGTGGTTTGGTGGATGAGGCTTGGCATCTTCTGCATCATGGCATTCGCGAGGTAGCTATCCAGAGATATGGGATGCCTGCTAACACCTATCGCCCTTTTCCTGTCGCTGAAGATACTCAGGCTACTCATCAACGTTATAAGGATATTCGAGCAACTATGTGGCAACGGAGAAGGACGCCGAATGCCGACGTGAATGGTCAACTTGCCGCAGAGTTTGTTCAAGTGCTGAAAAGGCTACGCAAATTACGACGACGAGATTTTCGACGGGCGCAAGACGGCTGGGCCGCTGAGCTTGCAGCTGCTGAAGACCAACACCAATGGCGAGATGTATGGCGTCTTAGTCGGAAACTGGCGGGGACACAGTTGGGCCCCAAGAAGCGTAAGTTTTTACTGATCTCTGCTCAACCACCTACTTGTCAAGAGTGGATTGAACACATGCAACTTCCTGGCGCTGAAGGTGGGGTGTCAGCCTCACTTGTCCTTCGGGGACATGCTGAGCAGCCTCTGGACGTCGCAGGAGTTGTACGCGATATACCTCATGATGCTGATGCGCGCCGTTCTTCTCTTTTGGAATTGGCACAGCAGCACGCCACCGCCTCTTCAGCTTCGGGCACGGACCTCGTGCCAGGCCGGGTGAGTTGGCAAGTTCTGCAGCAGTTAGTGGAGCAACACGCCGAGGCGCACAGGGACCTCTGGGGCACCGTCAAGAGCCTTACCAGATCTAAAGCACGCAAGCAAGTACCCGCCTGGTCGATTCCGAGGGAAATCTGGCTTATGGGTTTTCGACACCGAGATGTTGATCAAGGTTTTCTTCGAGAGGGACCCTTTCATAATCTGGTTCTGCAGTTTTTTCTGGCTATCCGAAGGACCCGAGAGACCCCAAACATCTGGCATGTGAGCGAAGCCTGCCCCATCCCCAAGGGAAATGGAAAAACTAAATGCAAAGCGGAACGGATCATCCACCTCCTGGACCCTGTAGGCAAGTCTTACCACGGTGCTCTGTGGGCTCGACGTAATGTTCACAATTATCACAACTCAACGGGTTTTAAGACTGGACGTAGGAGGGAGCAGTCTATTTTGCAGATGCGCTGTATGCAGTGGCGCCTCTCCCAGCTCGGCCGTAGTTGGATTGAACCGTTCTACGACATGGCTAACGCCTTCGCCTCCGTCTCCCACCAGGCCCTCGACAGTGTGATCGATGCCGCGCTCGACGTCGACTCGGCTCACATCGTTAAACATCGACGTCGACGAGCGATGACATATCTCGGTTCAAACAGTGGGGAATGGGCTCTCTTGGATCTGGGGTGCGGGGACCTCCAGGGCGACGCCGCGGCTCCGTCTCGTTTTACATGTGTGTGCGACCCCCGCATCCAGACCTGGATCGAAATCACGGAGGAGCAGGAGGAATTTCAGTTTTTTCGAGTTCGTGAACCCGTCACAGGTGAGACGGTCAATGTATATTTTACCACTTTTGCCGACGACATGACTAGCATCGGGCTTTTGCACGGTGATTCTCAGGCACAGCTGGCGTCTGACAAGATGCAGGCCTGGGATGATGGCCTCAAGCAGGTGGTCACGGACACCGCCGAGCTTGACCAGAATGGAGATAAGAAAGAGATTTTATTTCGATGCCATGGTCGAGGCTCTGCTGAACAGATGCAGGACTTCTACCACCAGCGTGGCTCTATTAGGTATAAGGGTACGGCTAAACAATGGGTTGGACACTTGGGGGGCTGGCACAATCTAGACGGGTGGATTTACTATGAGACAGATCAGAGATTGACGGCGGCTCGCATTGGGTGGTGTGCTCTGGGACGTTTTTGGACTTCCAAGGCTAGGAGGAGGATCAAACGCTTGGTTTATCAGAGTATGGTACGTGGGGCTATGCTTTCTGGGGGAGAGGCTCGGCTTTGGACTCGCAAGGATTCTGATGTGCTAGATCGTTTTGATCAGTCCCATCTACGAGTTTTACTCCAGGGTGCTAGTTGTGAACGCGAGGAGGTGGGAGGAGGGGTTGAACGAGTACGTACCTGGACTAATGAACGAGTTAGGGAAGAACTTCGTTTGCCTACTTTGGAGAGTACTGTGCGTTTTAGACGGTTGCAATGGCTCTGGAAGATTGCCCAGGAGCCTCAGAACAACCTTTGTTTGCTGGCAGCGCTGACGGGTGCTCTCGGCGGCGAGGATCGCGGCCAGCTTACCTCATCAGGTCGCCCACGCCACGGTTGTAATCCATATCTTCGTGAATTCTGTCATGACCTTGATGTTCAGGGTCGAGTGCAGCCTCGCGTGCGCGAGGTGCTCCAGGAGAAAGGTTGGTTTGCTCTCTTTCTGCCAGAGAATACATCACTCCTCGCCCCGATCGTGATCTTCTATGCTATATACGACCGCATGAACATGATAGGTTACACAATCCACCAGCTCTTCAAAATCGCAGTTTCGGAGATTTTCCGTGTGACGGCGTTTTCGACGACGGCGCGGTCTGTGCCCAGGTATTTCAATCCCGACGGGCCCTTCGGTGTCATAAACGACGAGCTCATCAAATCTTCGTGCCGCATCGGATCGCAGTGTTTTCAAATCAATGCAGTTGGTGTCTCAGAACGTTCAGTTCGCTCGACTCGCTTCGTCATCATGTCGAAGTCCGCGTTAAACGCCATGGATGTCCCAAACAGCGTGGGGGGAGTGCTTCAGCAGGTCTCGCGGGGCTCCAGCAACCAGCGTCGCTCGTGTGCCCTTTTGGGGAATATGAGGCCTCCAGTGTCCCTCTACTCCACGAACACGTTCGTAAGCATTTTGTGGTTCGAGCTGATCGTGAGGTTTTTCAAACTCTTCCTGAGTGTGACGCCCCAGTCGCACCTGCCCTCGCCGATCTACCAGATGGATCAGCTCCAGAGGCGCCTGGGTCAGGGCGCCGCGGGGCAACCGGCAGCCGGCGACGGTCGCGCAGCCGCGCGGCGCGCGGTCGGAGGCAACTTCGACGAGGAGTATCGTTCCCTGGTGGTGAACACGGCGAAGACCGTCGTGGGGCTCGACCTGATGTCTCGTCGGTTTGCGGGATGTCTTACTCTCGTGGCTCTTGTGAAGGGTGCGCGCACGCAGCTGACCGCCATGCGCGAAGCGGGTGTGACCTACGAGGAAGCGAAGACGCAGTACAAGCAAGCGGGGAATCAAGAGCAGCTGGCACAGCTCAAGTGGGCGCATCTCCACGTGTGGGTCGGCCTGTGCATGTCGATCGTGAACGACGCGACGATCCCCGCGGAGGCGAAGGCGAGCGTGCTGGCCCACTCCCAAGCCGTGAAAGGTGTGGGAGACATCGAGGACAAAGTTATCGTATGTTACCAGAAGAAGGCCTTCCGCCAGGCCAACTGGCAGGAGGACATGTATCGCATCGAGCTCTTCACGACTCCCGAACTTCGAGCAGAGGCGCTCGAGATCCAGACGTGCATCTTGAGGGCTGCAGGCAGTATCAAAAAAGCAGGCAGTCCACCCAAAGGCCCCAACGTGCGGAAAGTCATTCAGAGCTTGGTGAACCCCGGGGAGTACCAGGCGCAGCCTGCCGAGTGGGGGTGACGCGAGGACGAGAGAGGCCACCTTCTGAGCGCTTTCGCGCGAGCTCCGCAGGCGGTGTAGAAACTCCAGGTTTCTTTTTTACTCGGGCCTCTCCTCCTCCTCCTCCTCCTCCTGAGACCTCTCTCGCTTCTGAGCCCAGGGAGGTTTCCGTGGTCCGAGTGCTTTCGGAGTCTGGGCAGTTTCGGTTTTTGCGGGCTATCTAGGCTAGTCACTGGCGTGAGCGGCGCCTTGAAGTCAGTCTTCGAGGGCCTCGAGTACCTTTCCCCTCCTGGAGCTTCTTGGCCCTATAGGAGGGGCTGTGCTCAGGGGGCCAGTGCCATAGAGTGCCGAATCCATTGATTGTGCTCTTGCTCGTGTGGTGAGTTAAGACACAGTTGTTCTTTTGGCCGAGAAGGGTAAATGCCCACAGACCCGAGTTCCAGGTTCTTCAGCGTTCTACTGCCTTGACCTTCTGCTGGCCAGGGAGCTCACAAGGGGGATGAATGAATGAATGAATCGTCATCATCATCATCATCATCATCATCATCTTCATCTTCATCTTCATCTTCATTCTCCTCATCATCATCATCGTCATCTTCGCCATCGTCATCATCGTCATCTTCCCCACCACCATCGCTATCAGCATCCTCATCATCATCATCACCAATATGATCATCACACTCAGAACCATACTCACCACCATCAGCATCATCCCGTCATCATCATCATCATCATCATCAAAAACATCGCCATCACCACCATCATCGTCATCAGCATCATCAGCATCAGCATCATCAGCATCATCATCAGCAGCAGCATTATTATCATCATCGGCATCATCAGCATCATCAGCATCATCATCAGCACCATCAACATCATCATCATCAACATCAGCATCATCATCATCATCATCATCACCACCACCATCATCGCGCACATTCAAACACGCACGTACACTCACCCACACATTCACGCATAAACCTTGAGGATGTGGGCCGTAGATTCGTCTGGGAGTGAATCGTGAGGAAGTCTCGAGCGGAATCTCCTCCCTATAGGATCCCCGCGGTCATTCTGATAGGCTGTACAAGTAAAGATGTGGTGGCACTTGGGAGCCTGAATCGCGAGGGAATCTAGAGCGGGAGCCTCCTTCCAGACCAAATTCAGAGGATGTCGCGGGCGTTGATTCTTCTGTGAGTGGATCGCGGGGAAGTCTCGAACTGGAGGCCCCTGCCAATGGTGTGCCCACCTCGTGTTGGCATTCCGAGGCGGCCATCGGAATACCCTGTCGAAGACATGTGTTTTGTGACACCTGGGACCCTGAGTCCCGAGAAAGTCTCGAGCTGGAGCCTCGTTCCGAGCAAATTCAGAGGTTGTCTCGGGCGCTCACTCGTCTGGGAGCGAATCGCGGCGAAGTCTCGAGCTGGAGCCCCCTCCCCTTATGTTGTCCCCATCTCATGTTGGCAATCCGAGGCGGCCATCGGGAGACTCTGTAACAAACATTTGCTTGGTGACACCTGGGAGCCTGAATCACGAGAAGGCCTCGAGCGGTAGCCTCATTCCTTTGTCGAGCGTCCTTTGCAAGCCGAGGCAGCCATCCCCCATCATACCTGTAAGAGTCGGCAGTGGCCAGCAGAGGCCAGACGGGAAGAGGGCCTCTGTAGTCACTAAGACGATGAGGAGGAGCATTTCCAGAGTATCCTGGGAGATTCGCATGCAACTATCCTGATTAGCCGAGTAGCCGATGAGATGCCGCCGTATGAGCGTCAGCTTAGCGTCGAGTCAGCGTCGAGTAGTGTCGATTCGCCAGAGCCAAAAAGATGGTATGGGAGGCTTCCATGCAGTGGAAACCCATGCCAAGAAACTCTCTTCTAGCCTCCAGGACACCCTGGGTTTCTGGCGTGTCGATGGTTTTGCTATGGAGAGCGTGACGTCCCCGCACCAAAGACCGATGGGCGTCCTGGGGTCTCAGGGTTGGGTTTCTCGTGGAAGGTTCCTTGTGGTCGAGCTCTTCCTGTGAGTTGCCGCGCAGAAGGGGCGGAATGGGGGGGTTGCGGTCACGTCACGACTCGCGTCGGCAGGTGCCCCGGGGCGCGGGCGGGCCGAGCAGGGAAAGGGGCGGGCTGCTGGGCGCCAGGCCTCCCAGGCAGGATCCGCGCAGAGTGGGTCGGATGATCGCGTCGCATCGATGCCTCCTCCTCCTCCTCTATATTCTCCTCCTCCTCCTCCTCCTCCTCCTCCTCCTCCTCACCGGCGAGGCGGCTCGACGGTCCCAGAGGTCCCACGCATTGGCAGAAGTCAGGACGGAGGTTTTTCGCACTAGTCGGCCTCGATGGGGCTCCCGCCAGGACCGTCAAGACACGGCTCAGGATGAGAAACGGGTCCTGGGGAATGGGTCGAGACTTCTGGGGGCCGCGTCTAGAAACGAACCACAAAAAGCGACCTCGGATCGCTGGGGTGTGCCGCAGTTTCTCCGCGCCGGCGCCGACGACGCAGTGCCGACGTCGCCACTTCGCCGCGCATCCGCGGTGCGTCGGCGATGCAGCGCGATACTCCTACCCCATCTGCTCCGGCCCCATCCTGGGAGGGCTCTAAAGGCGGCCTGCTGAGCGGAGGACACTGCAGTGAGGGGGGCCCGCCAGGTCGCCGGCGACCGGGAGCAGATGGACTGGATGAGGGACTGCAACTCCCTCACGGACAGGCTTCCTGGCCCGCGCTCCGAGGAGGGCCAGTGGTTCACCGAGCGCGTTTCGCTACTCGCAAAGCTCCTACTCGCAAACGTCCGAACAAAAACAGGTCTTCTTAGATGTCATGGATCGTGAATCCCCCGCGGAGGATCCAGGCCATTCACGAGCAGTCACTTTCTGCGAGTAGTGGAGCGCGCTTGTCTAGTGGTGACGGTGGCAGGTGGCCTTCGGGCCCCCCGCCCCCTCGCCGCCACGGCCCCCGGACGCCGCTCGGACAGCTGGTGCGTCTGGACCCCGAGAGGGTCCCCGGGAAAAACGGAGGTTCCGGTGCCGCCGCCTCGCGCTTCGCCGTGCTCCCACACTCGCGCTTCCCGGATGCTGGGCGCCGTGCGGCAGCAGGACTTCGGCGGCGTCCCGTGCCTGGTCTCTCCCCCCCTATGACTCGGGGGAGGACAGAACCCCCAATAGTGACACGTCGATTAGTGAATTGTCCGTTTTCGGTTTTCGAGAGGGCGCCGTGGCCGTTATTTTCCAGACTTGCGTCTGCCAGGTTTGGGCCCAAGGGCGTTTTCACTAAACCACGTTTTACTAAAGGGAGGTCTGTCCATCCCCGAGTGACCCTGCCCCGTGCGCGCCTGCCTCGAGGAGCAGTGCGTAGAGGTGGGGGCGGGGGCCGCGGTCGTGGCTTGGCGTGTCGTCGCCATGCTTTCCGCGAGGCCAGGCCGGACGCTTTTGGCCTCTGCCCCGAGGTGCCCCCCCCAGGGACTCCAACCAGGAGGAGGGACGTGGACGGGAAGGTGAACCTCCAGAAGATAATTATGGGAAGGTGGGGAGAATCCTGGGATGCGCGTCTCTTCCTGTATGTGTGTATATGTGTCCCTGGGCCCCTTCATCCAAGATCATCCGAGATTGCTCAGCCATGGGACGGGAAGGGGGATAGACGGCACGAGAAGGAGAAGGAGGAGGAGGAGGAGGAGAATGAGGAGGAGGAGGAAGAGGAGAAGGAGGAGGAGGGTGTATGAGAGCATGGGCGGGGGGAGGTGAGGAGTGGGGGGGAATGACAGTGGAGCAGAAGGGTGAGGAGAGTGGGGCTGAGGGGGAGAGGAGGCGAGGCACAGGGTGAGGGAAGGAGAGGGGGAGAGGCATGTGCAAGGGGGGCAAGGAGGGGAGGGTAAGGAGAAGGGGGGGGAGGGAGTGGGGCCCAGAAGCTGCAGGATGTTTGAAAGCGAAAAGTAGCGGAAGCGGAACACGATCGGTTTATAATCCCTAGACCGTCTCAATTATGCCAGTCTCGAGAAGCGCACGGGGGGGGCTGGATGCGGCGAGCTCTGAATCCGAATCATCGAAGAGTCGCATAATCACATGGTGCTGCAGTTTACGTTGAACGACGGAGCGACATTTCACCCTGACTTGTTCGTGGCAATGGCGTTGCACTGTCGGTCTAGTGCGTGCGGTCTTCGCAGGCTGAGGCGCGAGCAGCTGCTGGCCGCTCAGCGCCCTCTCCCAGCCTTTCGCCCATCCCTCCGCCCATTCCTCGAGCTGCGCCCTCTCGACACATGCATGGCGGTTCCAGGCCTCTCCCCCGTGCATGGGGAAGTGCCCCCCCTCTGCCAGAGCGTCTCGGGAGGGGGGGGGGGGGGGCTTCCGCGGGGCCTGGGGCCGCCCGAACGCGCGCCGAGGGAGCGCCCACGAGGGCCCCCCAAACACGCCACAGGAAGCCTCCACGGCGCCCCAAGATCGCTCCCGGATCGCCCGTTTGTTTGTTGTTGTTGTCGTTGTTGTTGTCGTTGTCGTTGTCGTTGTTGAACATTATTAATTCTAAAGAATAATTATTGTTGGGACCCCTGGTGCACGGCCCCCCTGCGCCGCCTAGGCCGCAGCTACATTTTCATCATTTTCGTGAGGAAGCCTCAGGTAATTCGATGTGATCAAGATCCGGTTGTTTTGTTCCCCCCCGCTTTCCCTTGCAAAAAACACTATAAAATGACATTTCTTGTTCTAATATAATCAAATTTCAAGAATCCCTTGCAAAAAATAAGGTAAAGTGGACATTCGCGCGCGCAAGACGAAATCCTTCCAAAAGCTTAGTGTTCGGAGCGATTTTAACATAAAAACATCAAAAAACCAATGGTTTTTCAACAAAAAAATGTCAAACTTTCATCCCGCGCGCTCTTGCGGATTCGTAGGAAACCCAACACTTTTTAAACATTTCTGTCAAACGGGCTTTTGCGAGCAACTTTTTCGAACTTCTGCAACAACGGTTGCGCACCTGCCAGGGCCATCATCCCTGTCAAATAATACCATGCGGGACACATTCGTTTTTTCTTCGCGCGCGCACGCCGAAATCTCCAAAAACCATTGGGTTCTTAAGAATTTTAGCACCGCGCATCATAAAATCACACGAATCGCACCGTAGGTCGGGACAACCACAACCATCAGGACAACCATCGGGACAACCATCGAGACAACCATCGGGACAACCATATCCTCTCTCTCTTGTGTATTCCCACATCCCTCAGGAATTTGCCCTAAAGATGTGATCAACTATCTTGTGAGTACGTATCATGTGTATCATGTGTATCATGTACCATATGCATCATATGCAACAGATGTTCTGTGGAAGGCTTAACAACTTCTGTGGGTTAACAAGGCTTAACAACTTCTGTGGGTGTACGAACGTAGGCTTAACAACTTCTGTGGGTGTGTACTCCACGCCAGTGTAGTAGCCACGGTCGTCCGCAGGCCACGAAGTGAAGTGTCCGAACGTCATAGGGCGGGAAGCTGGGTGTGGGTGGTGGCGAAGAGTCGTGTGGATATTTGGTAGAGCTTGCACTGCCCCCCCACAAAGTGGGGGTATTGGCTGGCGTCGCATGAAAACCCTGGCACTGGTGAGAACACTGAGCGTTCGGGTAAAGTGATTGTTGTTGTTGTTGTTGTTGTTGATGTTGCTGTTGTTGTTGGTGTTGTTGTTGTTGTTGTCGTTGTTGTTGTTGTTGCTGTTGTTGCTGCTGTTGTTTATGTTGCTGCTGTTGCTGCTGCTGTTGTTGTTGTCATTGTTGTTGTTGCCGTAGCTGTTGTTGCTGTTGCTGTTGTTGTTGCTGTTGCTGTTGTCGTTGTTGTTGTTGTTGTTGTTGTTGTTGTTGCTGTTGTTGTTGTTGGTGTTGTTGTTGTTGGTGTTGTTGGTGTTGTTGAACTCTCATTTCTGAAGAATAATTATTGTTTATCCCCCCTGTCCGGTGCCCATTGTTTTTTCAATTGAAGTGCTTACCTTGTTTTTTGACAGGGAAAGCCTTGCGGATCAGATTGCGTTGTTGGGCCCCGGACTACAACAACAACGGCTCCCGCCTGAGACTTCCTCACAATTTACTCAGGACCCCCGCTCCCGCTTGACATTTCCTCAAAATTTACTCCGGAAGGGCGCTCCCGCTTCAGACTTTCTCACATTTTACGCAAAAGCGGCGCTCCCGCTTGAGACTTCCTTAGTCAGGACCCCTGCTCCCGCCTGAGACTTCTTCATAATTTACTCAGGAATGGCGCTGTCGCTTAGGACTTCCTCGCAATTTATTGCAGCATCGCGCTCTCGACGCTCAGGAACCACGCTCGCGCCAAGGACGCCCTCGCAATTTACTTAGGAATCGCGCTCTCGCTTAATACTTCCTCGCAATTTACGCAAAAATCCCGTTTGAATGTCCCGCCCGCCCGACCCGCCCGTCAGGGTCCGCCCGCCCGACCGGCGCTCCCGCTTGAGACGTCCGACAATGTACTCGGGACCCCCGCTCCCGCCCAACTCTTCCTTGAGGAATACGCCCTCGCCTAGGACTTCCTCGAACGTTCACACTCTTACCCTCCTGCCCCTTCCTCCCCATCCAACCTCCCTCCTCCCTCCCCTCTCCCTCATATCCACCCTCCTCCTCCCTCTTCCTCTCTCCCCTCACCCTCCTCCCATAACCCTCCTCCCTCCTCTCTTCGCCCTCCCCTCTCTAGCCTCCTCCTTCCTCCCTCCTCTGTCTCTCTATCTCCAATCGTCCCCCCCCCCCTCCTCGCCCCCTCTCTCCTGGCGTGTTCCCCTTTAGCCTCGTCCCTCCCCCTCCCTTCCTCCCACTCTCCCTCGTTCTCCCCCTTCCTCTTCTTGCAGGGCCCGCGCTAATTCCAATGGTGGGCAAAGAGATGCGTGCCCCATCCTCCGAATAATTCCCCGCCCGTTCACGCCCGCTTGTCTAAGCCCGCCCGCCCCCGCAAAAAGAAAGAATCCCCCCAGAAGGGGGTACGCTCGAAGACGAAGGGGGCGGGTATCGAGGGCGTGGGTATACACGTTGCATGGCACGCGGGCAAATAACACCGAACAGTCTTAACATGATTGTTGTTGTTGTTGTTGAACATTATTTATTCTAAAGAATAATTATTGTTGGGCCCCCTGGTGCGCGCCCCCCCTGCGCCGCCTAGGCCGCAGCTACATTTTCATCATTTTCGTGATGAAGCCTCAGAAAAGAGGGTGTGTACAGGATCCGGTTGTTTTGTTGTAATCCGCTTTCCCTTGCAAAAAACAATAGAAAATTACATTTCTTGTTCTAATATAATCAAATTACAAGAATCCCTTGCAAAAAATAAGGTAAAGTGGACATTCGCGCGCGCAAGACGAAATCCTTCCAAAAGCTTAGTGTTCGTAGCGATTTTAACATAAAAACATCAAAAAACCAATGGTTTTTCAACAAAAAAATGTCAAAATCTCATCCCGCGCGCTCTTGCGGATTCGTAGGAAACCCAACACTTTTTAAAACATTTCTGTCAAACGGGCTTTTGCGAGCAACTTTTTCGAACTTCTGCAACAACGGTTGCGCACCTGCCAGGGCCAACATCCCTGTCAAATAATACCATGCGGGACACATTCGTTTTTTCTTCGCGCGCGCACGCCGTCGTCGTCGGCCGCGGGGCCCTAAATAGTAGCCACGGTCGTCCGCATGCCACGAAGTGAAGTGTCCGAACGTCATAGGGCGGGAAGCTGGGTGTGGGTGGTGGCGAAGAGTCGTTTGGAAACTTGGTAGAGCTTGAACCGGCCCCCCACAAAGTGGGGGTATTGCCCGCCTCCTATGAAAACCCTGGCACTGGTGAGAACGGAGTGTCCCCAGTCTTAAATGATTGTTGTTGTTGTTGTTGTTGTTGTTGTTGTGGTTGTTGTTGTTGGTGTTGCTGTTGTTGTTGTTGTTGTTGTTGTTGTTGTTGTTGTGTTTGTTTGTTGTTGCTTGTTGTTCTTAAATGAACAAAAACCGCTCCCGGATTGCCCAAGATGGCCTCAAGACGAGCCAAGAGCCTGGCCATCCCGGCCCGCGCACTCGGCATGGCTGGTTTGGTCACCTTCTCCCCCAAGCCGGGCCCTGCCCCCGTGCCTTCAGGAGAGGAACAAACACACAGACAATTAATCCTCGATTCCTCAGAAAATATGGGAAAATATTGGAAATGGGGGGGAAGACAGAAACCCAGAAAATATAGGAAAATGTCGGGAATCTTTTTATTAGTATGAATTTACTCGTGTGTCCCAGGGCCCCTTCATGCCTGCCCGCAGGCGTGCTGGTTGCCCTGTACCTCTTGCCCCCTCTTCTCCCGCGGCGTCTTTCCTCCCCCCCGCCCCCCGCCCCAGCTCTTGCCAATCCTTCCCCCAAAAGCCAGCGTTGCCCCCCTCCCTCTCTTCTCTCCCCATCCTTCCCTCTCCCCTCTCCTGGTCCCTCCTCCTTTTTTTCGTTCCCAGGGTCTGGGTGATCGAGGAGTGCGAGTATCCGGTGCCGCTGCTACTTCCCGCGTCCGCGCTGCAGGAGACCGCTCCCTGGGGAAGCGGAACCAACACAACGAGTCGAGTTGTGATTGACAAATGGGGTGTGGAAGTGGAGTGAGGGAGCAGGAGGGGGACGCGGGAAGAGGAGGAAGGAATCAGAAGCAGGCAGGCGGGATACCGGCGCATGTGTGAAGTGTGTAGGCTGAACGTGCGTGTATATGTGTATATAAATGTATACATACAGAATACAGGAGCACAATGGAGAACATGTCGGACGGACGGATGGCGGCGGCAGGGATGAGGAGGGAATAAAGGGGAAGGAGGAGGGAGTTGTTGTCAACGAGCACGGATGAGGACTAGGGAGAGCGGTGGGGAACGGAGAAAGAGGGAGGGGTGGGGGGGAGTGGGAGGGCGGTTAGAGGTCAGAGCGCGAGAGACAGACAGGGAGGGACGGAGAGGGGAGGGAGGAAATGGATAAGGGATTGAAGAGGGGACCTGGATGGAGCTTGTGCGTAGGAAGGGGGGGGCGTGGAGGAAGGGGAGAATGGAGGAGGCTTGCACGAGGATGCGGATGATAAGATTGATGGGTCGGAGGATTTCGGATCCAGCATGCCAGGGATGGACGATGGAGAAGGCCCGAACGCGGACGGGGGATGGAGGGTGGCGGGCGGAGAATGCAGGGTGACTGACGGTTGGAGGGTGGCGGTGTGGAACGAGGCAGGGCGGCGGAAGGGGTGGCAGGAGGGCGCCGTGCGCCGCCGGTTCTGACAGGGGAGGCTGACGCAACGCGCTGCGATGAGGTGGAGAGGAGCTCCGATGTGGCCCCCCACCCTCTTCGAAACGGCCTCGCCCCCCAATGCTCACCACCCACCAAACCACCCCAACCCAACCCGAAGGCTTCAATTTGCCCTCCATTTCCAGTGGGGGGGGGGGGGTCGGGGAACATCGAAAAAACACGTGTGGAACCCGTACCCCCCCCAACCCTAAATTCGGGTCTTCGGGTTGGGTTGGGGTGGTCTGGTAGGTAGTCAAATGCGGGCATGGTCTGTATATCTGAGGTGTGTGCATGTCTTTCCTCACTGGTCTCGGTGCCCAGGCCGTCGATGTAGTTGCTGCCCCTGGGTTTTGGGGGGCTCAAGAACTGGCAACCAGGCGGTGCGGATGGAATATCTCCTCCCTGCAGCCCGGTGCGCTTGGCGGGGTGCTCTCGGCTGCCTTCGGGGCGGCAATCTCCAGAGGTGCCCGTCCATGACCATGCCGCCGTGCCCGCCGACGCCGAGCGGCGCGGCGTGCGTTCCGTCGCCTGGCTGCCCGGCGTGCCCGGGAGGATCGCCCGCTCTTGCCAGCCTTGGCCCTGTGGGCTCCGAGGCAGGAGGCGAGAGGAGGAGGAGGAGGAGGGGGAGGAGGAGGAGGAGGAGGAGGCGAGAGGAGGAGGAGGGGGAGGGGGAGGAGGAGGAGGAGGAGGGGGCGGCTGTGACCTCGTGTTGGCTGGTGCGACGAACGAACAACACACACCCATACCCATAAGGGGGTCGTTGGGAGGAGGACTGGCTATGGGTATGGGTGCGGGTTGTCGGACCCTAGGGAACGCTCCCGTTCGAGCGGGGACCCCCATCCGACAACACGCACCCATAGCCCTTTCCGACCCCGTTATGGGTATGGGTGTGTGTGTTGTTGGTTCGTCATGGTGGTGCTGCTGAAGTTGATCCTCCTGGGCGGCCTGGTGGTGTGGTACGTCTACGGCGCCGTGGCCATGATGGCCTTAGCGAGACTGGCACCAGCGGAGGCGGCTCTTCCGGAGGTGCGACAGTGGGCCTGGGTTCGCTACGACGGAAAGCTATGGCACCAGCGGCTGATCTTGGGGCGACGGGCGAGGGTTCCGATTGAGCCTGGCTCCGCCCTCGACTTCCTGCTCCGTGCGGTGGACACCAACATCCACGAGGAGGATTACGAGTGTGCTGGCACTGACATCGTCGCCGTGCAGTATGCGAGTGGGCGTGCTACGTACCCAGCTGGTATCCAGGCGGCCAAGTCGTATCGATTCCGGCGAGACCTGACGGCCGTTGAAATGCTGGCGATCGATCGGACGGCGATGGACTAGTGCACGACCGCCCTGGCTGCAGACCATCGACGGCTCCGCCTACCTGTTCGTGTTGGGCCGTTTCTGATCCCGCCGACGGTCGGCCCAGGCCCCGTTGCGTCTCCAGGCGCCGTTGCGGTGGTCGCCGCTGGGCCTGCCGCTGTGCCGCTGGCCGCCGCCCTGGTCCCCGCTGGGGGGGACCCTGGTGCGGGGGCCCCGGCTGGGGCGGCCGCGGGAGCGGGTGCTGGGGCCGCCGGCCTGGCGGGTGCCGCCGCCGCGGGACCCGCCGCCGTGTGGGTGTTCATCGAATGCACGACGGATGGTCGCCGCGGGATGGGGGTGACCCTTCCGGCGGGCTCGGAGCTGAAGGGGTAGGTGGGCGTCGTGCCGCTGGCCGACGGGTCGTAGGTGGCGATCGGGTCGATTTCGGGATCGGTTCAGGAGTATGCTGGTCGTGAGGCCGCCTCGGACGCCCGGCTGATGGGCATCCTGGCGAACCCCGCTGTGTCTGGAGGTTGGCTGCTGCGGCAGTGGCGCGACGCGGCGGCGAGCTTCACCGAGGAGACTTTCGTCGACTGGCGCATCCCAGTGTCGAGACCATGTTTGTAGTGCTGCAAGTACACCGACAAGCGCCAGGGCGGCCTGCTGGATCACTTCCGGTTCTGGAAGTCGGCCCTGGGCATGTCGGCAGACGACTACGGTGTGAACGACTACGACAAGATGACTACGAGGATGGTTTGTTGGGCTGCTTTCGACTTGCCCAATATAGCTGGTGCGGAGCAGATTCTCCGCAGGTGCCAGATGTATGAGTACGTCTACGTGGTGGACCGTGACTCTCGCCACAGCAGTGGTAGTGTTGGCGACGGCGGCGGCGAGGGCGACGACAAGAAATTGCGAGGAGGCCGCGGTCGAGGCCGTGACGGAGGCTTCCACAGCCTGCTGAGCTTCGGGTTGATCGACGGGAGTGCTGTCTTCACAGGTCTCAGCCGAGACCACGGAGAGAGCATGATGTGCCCGCAGCTTTTCGAGCGCGTGGCAATAGAGGTGGAAAGGGACGCTTCGGTGCTGAAGCAGGTACGCAAGGCCCGCGAGGAGCAGCGGGCCTTGCGATCATGACGGTGGGCGTGCCACGCGGACCGCATCCCCCCGGCGGTTCGCGTGTTTTCGGAGGGGGGCCCAGCCTCGGTGACCCGCCACCCGCTGGTGAGAAGCACTTTGAGGGCACTGCAGTTGGCAGGCAGCGTGATATTTGTCCACTTCCGTGTCCTGATCAAGAGCATCAGGCGCATTCAGAGGCACATGGTGTCAAGTGCACCCGCTCGGTGGTTCGTCGTGTCCGTCGGCGCGGTCAAGTGGAGTGTATGGTGAAGGAGGTCGCGCGCGCCGTCAACGAGCTGCACGTCGGCCGGCCGTGCCAGCCCGGCGGCGGCCACCCTCAGTCCACCCCTGCGGACCAGCAGCAGGCCCTCGTCAACGTTTGTCATGCGCTTCGTCGGTTTGGTGAGCCCCCGGAGGGATTGACTGGCTCAGGAGCCCGTGAGGAGGTCCGAATTCTCAGCGACAATGCCGGCGAGAGTGCCACGGTCGTTCCGTTCGACTTTGATGATGTCAACAGCCTCTCGCTCTCTGCTGAAGGTTTGAAGCCCGTGCCGCTTGACTCGCTGGGTGGAGGTGCTGACCGCAAGATAGTCGGGCGGCTTCATGAAATGATGTTGTCCCAGTCTGGTCGGGCTCGGATCGAGTCCGAGTGTTCTCGGAAGCTTCGCGCTGACCCGGCACTCAGGACACCCGAGTTGTATGTCTAGCTCCGACGGATCTTCGATCGTCGGAACCTCATCGACTCCTACGCTGACAAAGCCGGCAGCGTGGGCGTGCTTTTCGCTTTTAAGAAGTTTGCGAAGTTGCGGCACATCCTGGACGGCCAGCACGTTCCTTTGAATTTCACGGTCCTCGCGTCTGGGGCGAGCTTCGCAGAGCTCCGCGTCGACGGCGGGAATCCCATCGCGGCCGCCGATGTTGACCTGGCCGACGCCTTCAACGCGATGCTGCAGCCGCCTGCGTTTCGGCGGTGCTTCGCGTTGCCTGGGATCCGCGCGGGCCAGCTGGGGCTCGACTGCACCGCGGACGGCCGACAGCTCGGCGTGGCGGGCGTGGTCTACCCATGCTTCAGGCGCCCGCCCATGGGCCGTCTGTTCGGCCTCTGGATCTTCCGGACAATGCTGGAGGCGATGGCCCTACATGCGCCCGGCCTCACCGTTGCCCACCGCGTCGTGGATCGACGCCCTGTGGCCCGAGTGACGGGCGACGTGGTCCACGCCGAGCACGTGGGCAACGCTCTCAGCTTGTCGACCATCCCCGAGGTGGCCCGCGGCAGTGGGCGCCCAGCTCCGCGCGGCGGGTCTTCCGACCCACGGAGTTGAATGCAGTTTTAGGGCCCCGGCGCTGGGCTGGCAGTTCGACGAGCAGTTCCCGATCATCGGCCTGAACCCAGCTTCGAGGTGGAAGCTGAGGCTCGCCTTCTTGGAGCTGTGTCGGAAGGGTTCCGCCTCGGGCAACAGGATCGCCCGGTTCGTCTCGCACTTCGCGTCGCCGGCTCCGATCCGCCACGAGCTCCTGTCCAGCCTCAACGCTCAATGAATATTCTTTGTTCTGCCCTGTGTGGGGGCCGCGCGGCTCGGCTCTGGACCTCCTGCTTGCGCGAGCTGCGCTGGTGTGCGAGCCTGGTTGTATTTTGGTTTCGTGGCGTTGGTGCCGCGTTCGGTGGCAGGCTCGCGATGGTCGGCTCGTCCTGGTGGGGACTTGGGGTCACCTAGGAAAATGTCATCGC